CACATGGGTTTCGAATGATGATCACATACTTATGCTTCTCATCTCTACCATCTATGATTCATTATTCTAACATGTTCTAGGCAACACCTCTCACGATCTTTGGCTATCTCTTGAATGAGCATATGCACCTCACACTTCCTCTAGGGAATACACCCTCAAAACTCACCTGGCTCTACATACCTAACACGGGCTCAAGAATATTCTAATGCACTCGCCAATATAGGCGAACCAATGAAAGAAAAAGACTTGGTGATGCTAGTTATATTGGGTCTAAGAGAAGAATATAATGGTTTGAAGTTAATCCTTCTTGGTCGTTAATACCAACTACCTTTGTAGAACTTCATGGCTTGTTTTCAGACCATGATTACATGATCAAGAAATCAGCAACAAACATCTTTCCAGATCAAGCTTTCACAGCTGTCACAAACAGTCACACCTCATCTATTCGTGGTGCTACCTCTTCCACTCCTCAACCGGATCAACCACACGCTATTCAACAACTTTTTTCACAACATGGCCTTCAAGTTCAATCTGTTCATGCACAACCTGCTCAAGCCTTTTACACCAACATATCCAGAAATAATTGTGGTCGTGGACGTAACTCTAGATGTGGAAGAGGAACTACAACAACATAAATCAAAGATGAGGTAACCGTAATCAATTTAATTAGGCTTCTAATCAAAACCCTGTTTTTTGGAACATCCAACATGGAACATCCAACAGGTGTGGGATTGGTCATATCCCATCACAATGCCCTAACCGTGATCTAACAACAACCTTGGGAACAAGACAATGACCTTCGGCTAACTTTACAAACTACCGCTCATAAATGATATCCTCTTGGCTCCTAGACATGGGCTCTAGCCAACATGTTACACCAGACCTATCAACTTTCAATAAATTTGAGGCCTGCTGTAAGATTTAGTTTAAAATAAAATAAATAAAATAACAAATAAGTAAATAAATAAATAAATTATAAGCCCTAAAACCTTGAGATGTATCTTCTATTTTATTTTTAGACCTAAATCTGTAATAATTTATCAGTGTTGGCCATAAGGAGTTAAATGATATAATATCCAGAATTTGGGGTCTATACTATAACATTAGGACTTGAAATGTAAAGGAGTTTGTGAAGCAGGGGTTGTTTCGTAATTAGTGGGTTTAAATTGAAAATGAAATGTGGAAGTAGGAACCGATCTTGTTTAAATGTATCCAAGTTTGGAATTGGAGTTGGGGACTTAAACCCGTTGTTCCCTCCTACCTCTCACTCCATTGAAGCCCTAAACCTATCTTTCATATAAAGCAGCCGCCACATGGTATACTCCAGCCGCCACTACCTCATTCTCTTTCCTTTCTGATCAACCAATACCATCGGTGGACCCTTGCTGTCAGTGAAATCGTGAGCCATCGAACACCACCATCTCTCCTGCTTCCGCTACCGATGAAGGCGATATCTACTAGCTAATATCGTGCTAGTCGGGGAGATCGAGAAATGAAGCCGTGGCCGCTGCTGATGTTGTCAACGAAGGTGAAGATTGACGTGTGGGTGTCATTTTTGTGGGCATTCGGAAGAGCATGGCTAACATTTTTGTTGTTTCCCTCTAGTAATGGCGCAACCCTCTTCCCTTCCTCCATCTTCATTTTTCTCGTCGTTGGCTCCGTTACGACGGTAGTCCCATCGCCAACATTCTTCTAGCAGTCGCATGCCACCGTGAGTGGGTAGCTGCATTTTATGTGAAACCCTAATCGTCATTTCATGTGAGGTGGTCACTCTTGCAAGTGACTATGACCTTTGATCGGGTATTGACTCAAGTATCTTCATGTAGGTGATTGGAAGTGAGTTGAAGATGGTAGAGTTCTTCATTGATACAATGGTTACCTACACGCTTATCGAGGTGAGTTTCGCCTCACTGTACCCGTGGGTCGAAGGCACCAATGTCAGCCTACTAGTTTTGGTTATCTGGTAGTAGAGCGATGCTATAGGGATCTGTTAGATCTTTCTTCTGGTATCGAGTATGCTGCTATGTTGTAGTGATATGTTAGAATGTGTTCTAGTATCGAGAATGATGTTATGCTATAATAATCTATAAGACTGTATGTATCTTATTAAATCGAATACCATCCTAACCAACCTCCAACGCCTCACCCTTTGAACATGTGTTCAAACATAAACATGATTTTTCCTTTCTTTCGGTTTTTGGATGTCAGTGTTTTCCTCATATCCTTCCATACAACAAACACAAAACCGACTTCCATTCTAAACCTTGTGCGTTTCTTGGTTACAACACTGCTCATCATGGCTATTAATGTTTAGGCCCATAATTTGATCACATCTATGTGGCACATCATGTTTCTATTTAATGCAAAATACTTCCCTTTTCAAATACCTCCTATAATCTCTTCGACTAAAACAACTCCAAATCCCTACATCTCAATCTATCCAAATCCTACCTTACCACCCACTGTCTCACCATCCACAACACCTATTGCACAATCTGACTCAACATATATGACACCTCCCATCACCTCCCCTCATGAACAACCGGCGACCAAACCATCACTAATTCACACATATCACCGTCGTTCCCAAAACACCAATCAACCATCTTCGCTTATACCTACTGCTCATTTTTATAACACCGAACAACTTACACGTACTCGACCCACCAACCTATGCCACAATCCAAAACTAACCAAACTCCATGTTTCCACCTCCTACCATACCAAATCATTCTCATGACACCGAACCAACAACCTTTACGATTACTAACAGGGATACTAAGAGATGCAATACCATGGAAGAAGAGTATTCAACCTAATGCATAATGCTACCTAGATATTAGTGCAGAATGCTACCTTGAAATTAGTGCCATGTGTTCCAAATTCCAATGTTGTTTATCGTAAATGGGTATAAAAATTAAAAAGGGGTCAAATAGGGGCGATTAAACGATACAAGGCATGACTAGTAGCAAAAGGGCTTCAGCAAGAACCGAGCTTTGATTATCAGGAGATGTTCAGTTTCGTAGTAAAATCGACAACTATTTGTGTTGTTCTATCTATATTCGTAACACATAAATGGTCCCTAAGGAAAGTCAATTTACAAAATTCCTTCTTACACGGTAATCTCACCGAGACAATTTATTTTCAACAACTGAATGGGTTTGTTAATTCGGCCATACCGGATCAAGTTTACTTGCTTCACAAATCCTTATATGGATTAAAGCAAGTCCCTAGAGTGTGGTTCCACCATCTATCTATAGTTATTCATTGCCTTGGTTTTAAGGGTTCCAAGACAGATCCGTCCTTGTTTATTTACTCCCATCGAGGAAAACTTTTATACATGCTTTTCTATGTTGGTGACATTATTTTTACATGAAACAACTCACATGCGATTAATAAAGTGGTAAAGAGTCTTAGCCAATCTTTTATTGTTTAGGATATGGGTTGTTTCAATATTGAAGTAACTCATCAGGGTCATGAAATGGTTATATCATAAAGAAAGTACATCCTTGAACTCTTACAACGTGTAGGCTTTTCTGATGCTAAACTGGTCTCATCTCCTATGATCAGTAATGTGAATCTTACTCTTGGTGACAATTCCAAGTTTGATAATACGGTCAAATATCACCAATTAGTAGGTTCTCTTCAGTATGTCACATTGTCTCGTCCGGATATTACCTTCACGGTTAACAAAGTCTACCAGTTTATGCACTCCCCCACTGAGAATCATTAGTCAATAGTCAAAAGAATTCTTCGTTACTTACAAGGCACCGCTAACTATTGTTTGCGCCTTAAGCACGATTCGAGTACCATCCTCCATGCCTACACTGATTCAAATTAAAACTCACTGACCGACTTCCAACTTCTTTGATGCTAACTGGGCTGGTATCCCAGATGATCGCCGATCCACTAGGAGATAGGCTATCTACCTAGGTTCCAAACTAGTATCATTGTCTAGTCGAAAACAACATATTGTATCTCGGTCGTCAACAAAGTTTGAATACAAGGCCCTAGCCGATACCGTTGCTGAACTCACATAGATCAAAACTCTATTACGTAAAGTTCAAGTTCCTGTTAAGTCGGATCCTATTTTGTGGTGCGATAATCTTGGTGCTATGTATCTTTCAGCTAATCCTATCATTCATGCACGTACAAAACATGTTGAACTTGATTTTCACTTTGTCTTAGAAAAAGTGGTCCAACGGAAGCTTTCATTTGAGTTTATATCTATGGATGATCAGATTGTAGATGTGTTCACCAAGTCGTTGCACTCACAACGGTTTCTCTTATTACGATCCAAGCTACAGGTCGCTCCCCGGCCTTAGCTAGTGGGGGAATATTAGATAGTTAAAGTGTGATATGCATATAACTATATTAGAAGGTTATGAGTGTAAATGTATCTCTTATATATATACTGTTATTGTAATCGTGGATATACAATATACAAAATTACTGAATACCAAAGTCAACTTGGAGCAACCCCCGAGGAACATAATCTAAATGTTATCACTATCAACCCTCTACCTGTATGGAGCAACCCCTTTGCTGTAACACCACGTTTAAAATAATAGTAAATAATATATAAAGGCATAGAAGCCCTAAAGTCAATAATAATTGAGCAAGGCATTAGTTTTGAGGAGTTAAAAGTCATAATTATAGAAGTTGTGGTTAAAATGTGATTTTCGAATTAAATTGTATAGAAGTTTGAAGGTTGAGGTCCGTTTGGTAATTATTAGGACGTAATATGTAAAGGATTTCGAAAGCAGGGACTAAATGGGAATTTATGAGACTTCATTTGAAGAGATTATGGGGATAGGGGGTTGTTTGGTAAATTTCGTACATAAGTTGTTATGAATTTTAATATTAAGGGTTTAAATAGTAAATATTGGATTTACTTTGAAAAAAAAGAGAAAGGGGAGCGCTGATCTTGGCATTATGGCTAAAGGTTTGAGGAGGTCGGGTATATAGCTTTCCTATAAACCCTAACCCTAGGGATTCATTCAGCCGCCACCACCTTGTGACTCCCCATTCGCCTCCGCCCTTCCACTCACGTTTCCGATGCGGACCAAGTCGCCATCTGCTGTTGGTGACACCTTGAGCGACAAGGACCAAGCGAGACCGAACTTCGAGATGTACATGGTGAAGTGTGGGCTGTGAACGAACGGATTATTGCCAGAGAAACGAACTGGGGAGAAGCCCTGGCCATTGACGAACGAAGCCACCGCTATTCGCCATCTGTTAAGGTGCTAGAGCCACTCCGAATTTGATAGCCGTCATTCTCGCTTACTACCTTGTCGACTTACGCCACTGTTACATCCCCGCTGCTGCTATTGACGTTAAGAACGGTCAGTTGGTCGCCGAGACTGACGGGAGGAGCCATGAACGAGGAAGCTTCGACCGTAAACGAATGGAAGATCCCCAGTGAGGCTAACCGTGAGCTATTTCCTCCAGTCTTTCGTTCCTTTTGATTATACCAAGTCATCACCGTCGTTTGTTGTCGCCAATCCGCCACTTGCCGTCTACTGCCATCCTCCGCCGCCACTAGCCACCGTGCAAGGTGGTTGTGTGCATATATTACTATGTGTTTTACGTGTGTGTGGTTGTATTTCTATTAGTTATGTGTGTTTGGTTGTTTCGGTTAGCCAGAGTTCATGGAAGAGCCACCGCTACAATCGTGAGGTGGTGGCTACCGCCATGTGTCACTGCCGGCCACGACAATGGTGGTTGCGTGTATGTGTGTTTATTTTGTGTAGTGTGTGTGCGTTTATTTTGGTATTTTCATTGTAAATTGTAAAAGTGGAATAATGGAAAGAAATTGAAAACCACTACCTTAGGGTGGTGGCTGCCGCCACCGGCCATCGTGTCGGGTGGTGGTGTGCTTGCCTCGTTGAGTTCGATTCGTTTAGGGTGCTTGAAATGCTAATGGGCCCTGTAAGCTCTAATGGACCCTAATTGACCCAAATAAAACCCCTAATGGGCTTAATGATATTATAGTGGGCCTAATAGGCCCAATAAAGCCATAATTTACCTAAAATCCCAACAAATTGATAAATTGGCTAATATTTGGATTGGAAACCCTAATTAGGGTTTGGAAAACCCTAATGCCATTAACACCCTAATTTGGGGAATTAACCGAGACACACGAGAATTATTTAATAACTTGAGATATTAAATAATAATCATTGGCAAAGACTAATGTAAGAAATATTGGACTTAATGGATTATGTCCTTAGAGGATTAAGTCCTTAATGGGTTAAGTGAGTAACACTTAACTCTAATCGTCATTTTATGTGAAACCCTAATTTCACTTGGGTTTATTGTTGGGCCTATTTATTGGGCCTTGATGAGTGTGTTATTAATGGGCCATCCAAAGTCAAGCAATTGGACTAGAATAATTTAATGGGCCTAGGGTAAGGCCCATGTAAGGGGTTGGGGCCCATTTTGGATAATTGGGCCATAGTTTGGGCCTTAATGATTATATGATGTTGGGCCTTAGAAGAAGACCATGTATAGGCCTTGGCCCAATTTGGAAAATTGGGCCATGTGTTGGGCTTTGATTTCCTAGTTGACTTTGGGCCTATAGATTGGGCCTATGGATTGCATAAAGCCAAGCTTGGGGTAATGTAGTAATTATCGAAAGAATGCACTCATGGTTATGTAGTGGAACCCAATTATTAATTGGGTGTTATTTTTGTGATTGACAGTTCGGGAATTTGTCATCCAGCAGCTGGGGTTGAGTCTGCGGGACTTCAGCAGTGTGGGATTATTTCTACGAGACTTCACCAGTGTGAGGTGAGTTACCTTCCAGTAGGAGTGGGTCTACGGCCACAATACCGACCCACTAGAAGGCATTGTTTGTTAGATGATTGTCTTTGTGATAATTATCTGGTGTGTTGTTATCTGATATTCTTTATGTGCTAGGATGCTATGAAATATGTGTTAGTACTGGTACGGGTGATATAGCCCCTAGTTACCGGTTGAAAGATACCAAAGGGGTAGATAGTACCCATGCATGCCTAGTAGAATGATCATGATATGTTATTATTTGGTAGTAGTAGGGGGTGAAATAGTCCCCAGATACCGGTTGAAAGATACCGAAGGGGTAGGTCGGGCACCCAGATATGCCTGACAATATATTCATGTATGTTATGCTATGTTGTTATGTGATAGTGGTAGGGGTGAAATAGTCTCTGGTTACCGGTTGAAAGATACCGAAGGAGAGGTTAGCTCCCGGTTACCGGTTGAAAGAGACCGAAGGGGAGGCCAGCACCCAGATATGCTAGGCGGTTACCAGTTGAAAGAGACCAAAGGGGAGGCCAGCACCCAGATATGCTAGGTGGTTACCAGTTGAAAGATACCGAAGGGGTAGGTTGGGCACCCATATATGCCTGACAGTATGTTAGTAGTATGGTATGTGGTATGATGGGGGAACTCACTAAGCTTCATGCTTATAGTTTACAGTTTTTGTTTTAGGTAGTCGTTTTCAAAGGAAAGGAGTCAGCTTGATCACAGCGCATCACACTATGTTTTCCGCACATGAGATCTTCGGGATTACACTATGGTACGGTTTTATGATAACATGTTTTGATTACTGACACTTTGGTTTTGACATGAGATGTTATTATGGATGTTTTCTTATACTGTTGGTTTTATAATAACCTAATACAAATGAAATTTTGGTCTTGAATTTTGGGATGTTACAAGTTGGTATCAGAGCCTTGGTTTGAGGGATACGGGCACACTCCTGGGTGTGTTTGAACTTAAACTAAGGACTTGGTATGAAAATTTTCAAAAGTAAAACCCTTTTATATAAAGAAGTTTGAAAAGAAATTGAAAAGAGAAAAGAACTTTGAAAAGAACAAGGTGTGTGATGTATGCAATCAGCCGAGCTCAAGTAAGTTTTCCCCAAGATACCCATACATGTTATGATATGTTATGTTATGATATGATTATGAGAATTGCATGCTATATTAGGGCTAAGGATCTAGGAGGATGCCTTATATTCCTATTGTATGTGCTTGTAGACTTGCATGCTAGTACTGATCAGTCAGTAATAGGATAGCCTGTTTAGGTTATGCTTGATTGTATGAGCCTTTAAATTGCATGTACAGATTCCTGATTAGAGGATAGAATGATTTGATTGGAATATGATGGTTAGATTTTCCATTGTCTGAATGTTGCATGCTTTGTGCTTTGTGGGACTCTTAGTAATGTGAGCTAGCTATTAAGTGAATATGCTAAGTCACATGGAACACGGGCTGGATAATCTCAGAGTGATAGACTTGACCCCGTTGTGTAACTCTTGTCTGAGTCCAACCGTTCTAGAGATGGGTCTTTCACTTGAAGGATTATCTGATCTCTGTTGCATGTGGCTATATTCACGAGGTAGCTAGTTGATATTACTAGGAATCTTTCAGCAGTTGAGGACTGGGTGAGTTGGGAACCTAGGAAAGCCTAGGATATGTTTCAGTAGGTTAGTAGTGAGGGTCAATGAGACTTGGGTGTACCAGCTTGAGGAAGTGACTTGGAGGATTCGGTAGGATTCTAAGGAAATTATGGATAGGTGTGGAAGGTAGTATTGGGCCTGTACTAGTGAAAGCACAAGATCCATACTCGAATCAATGAGAGTCTTGAAGAATCTAAGAAGCTTTGGGGAAGAGTTAGTGACCCGATTTGGGGACAAAGGATGTTCCGGTTGTTGCAGTTTAGCAATGGGAAAGTGAGCTAGCGAGTGTGACAAGGTGTCAGACCCGGAAGGAGATGGTTTCCAAGAAGTTGCATATGCGAGATCGATTTGAATCACCCTGGAAAGAGAGGTTCACGCCAGGTGCGTATAGTAAAGGGGTCACGGGAAGAGACCCATGACTTCTGATCATCGAATAAAAGGCCACCAGGGCCGGAGTCAGTGCAACGTGTATGGGAAAGTGCATGAGGGATTTTGTCACTCCAAGGGTTTAGGATGCTATAGGTGTGGCAGGGTTGATCATGATAGTTGAAGGTGATCAGTATTCCTCCAAGTGTTGCAAGTATGTCGTCTTGTACTGTTGCTAGATGGATGTTGAGAATATGTATCGCTTTGGAATTATGGGTGAGTTTGAATAAGTCAGATCTCGGGTCATTTCTTGCTAGTGTTTGGGTTATCAAGGATCATATATTCCATTATGCATGTCGAAAGGTCCTTGATGAATTCATAGAGGGACGCATCTTGCGGAATGGGTTCCGCGTGGACCGTTATCAATCTAGATCCTTGTCGGGATTTGTGCAGGAGTATTATTTAAAGGATACTCGTTCAAAGTAAGAGTGATAGTTCTTCAGTGAAGTTAGCATTCCGTGGTTCTATCATGGTTCAGGTATGGTCGACGACTTTCTACGAAAGAACTTTGGAGTTCAAGGAACCACCGCTACCAAGAAGGTATTGGTAGCAGGAAGAGGATAGTGTCATATGCAGCCAGCAGATGCACAATTGCTTGGTCATTGGATGTTCAAGAGAATTGTATTTTTGCATGGGTTGTGTTCGGTTAGAGTTCAGTGGTGCTGCGATATTGGAAGTGGGAACGAGGACTCGTCAGCCCAAGTTAAGATTAAGGCCTCTAGTGTCAGCATTGGAGATGGATTGAGGTGTCATACTGGACCAGATTTCAAGAGTACTCTTCAAGATTTCAGAGGATGGGGCGATCTCAAGGTTCAACTAGTGATTTATCGCTAGCATTGGTAAGAACAAGTTGTCATCAGTGGGATACTAGAAAACAAGAAGGATTGGGAATCCTTCAATTCTCGCGTACAGTGAAGACTTAGTCGGATCTAAGTGGGGGAGAGACTTTTTATAAAGTTCTCCAAATGTGAGTTGTGGGAATCCTTCAATTCTCGCGTACGGTATTATGGTCGATCCGGCCAAGATAGAGGCCGTGATGTAGTGGGAGATTTCGAGGTCTCCAACTGAGATTCAGAGTTTCCTGGGTCTAGCGGGTTATTACCGGAGGTTTATACAGGACTCCTCCGAGATGGGAGTTTCCTTGACCCAACTGACCAAGAAGTTGGTGGCCTTTCGTTGAGGGCCTGAGCAACAGGCAACCTTCAAGACTTTCAGACAATAGGTTTCGGGAACCAGGATAGAGCTTTGGTTAGGAATCAAGTTCGGTTGAGTGTTAGGTCAAGTGCGTGTTCGACCCGGTTCGGAAAGTTTTGTAAGACTATAGGGGTAGTCGTAGCATTCACTAGTGGTCAGATAGCATGGAAAGTGTTGTAAGACTACCGGGGTAGCTGTAGCATTCACTAGCTTTCAGTTAGCATGAAAAGTATTGTAAGACTAAGGGGGTAGCCATGGCATTCACTAGCGATCAGGCAGTATGGAAAGTTTTGTAAGTTTGAGGGTGTAGCTGTAGAATTCACTAGTTAGCATGGAAAGTGTTGTAAGACTGCGGGGTAGCCGTAGCATTCACTAGCAGTCAGATAGTGATAGAGTGTTGTAAGTCTGCGGGTGTA